TGCGAAAAAAATTATCTAAGCAATTTTATGGTAATTTCTGTGATAAACAAAACGAATTATTGCTGAAGATGAAAGATCAATAGACAAAAAAAACTAAGAGGAAAGTATGGAAAAAAAACAGCGACATAACAAAAAAACTGGAAAAAATTTTTTTGGAAGAATATAATTGCAAAGAATGGATCTTTTTTTGGTATTTTTTAGTGTCCTCTATTTGCTGCTTTTGAATTTTTTTGTTTTTTGATCTTTTTATCTTCACTCTCTTACTTGCTGATATTTGTCGTATTTATTGGATTATATTAAAAAAATGTATAGTGATGAAAAAGAAAAAAAATAGTATTTGGAATGGAACTGTAATAAATAATTGTGTGATGAAATTGAAGAATAAACGAATAGAAAAAAAAATCTGGTGACTTTGAATTCAGAATGATAACGATTTTTTCAAGTAATCTTTATCAACTGTTTTTTTACCACTTACAGATTTGCAAGCGAAAAGAAAGAAAAAAACAATTTTTCTCAGTTATTCTATGCCAATCCTTAAAAATACTGTTTAGTAGTCTGTTTATGCTAAAAGATTGCTGACTTATGCTTAGAATTAAGCCAAAGAAAAAAATTAATCATTTAAAAAATAAACAGCTTTCAGAGATGATTATTGGTAGTAAACATATTTACACTTCGCTGTTGTATCAGCTCATCACTAATATTCGAAGGAAATATCTCTGTAGAATGAAGAAAGACTTATATTAGTAAATAAAAACTTTTTTTGTGCTAGTCGCACTTTACTGAAAATAACAAAATGAAATAAATTTAGAAGAATAAAAATTGATAAAAGCGTTAGCACTTTACAGCTGTCGATTTGAGAAACCGGTAAAAATTCTGTTTTCTTTTAATTCGTCATTATTTCTCGTTGTTATTTTCAAGCAAAAAGAAAAAAAAATTATTGAATCAAAGAAAAAAAAAGCAGATTGAAAAAATCTGTGCTAATGTTATTCCAAATGAAGACAATTCCAAATATCATAAATCCCTTGAGACTTTGAATCAGACTAGATCAATTCACCACTTTTACCAAATGAATATGCATCCGAAACAGTGACCGAAATATGCAAGAACCAAAAACGTCATTAGATCATGAGTAATTCTTTTTCCTTCTTTTCAGTAGTATTTCTTCAACTGTTGGTACCAACAAAACCTTTTTGATTTCAAAAGCAATAAGTGAATTCCGCCATATATGTGATGTATGATGTGATGCAAGGTATACTACTACAGAATGTAGGATAACCGATGCCAAGTATGTAATAAGTGCTGTCTACCTTATTTCGATTGATACTGAATTTTTTAGTAATATTTTTCTTAAAAAAAAACTTCTTTTTATAAAAATTATAAACTCAATGCGTGGAATTTAGCTTTTCTGATATTTTAAGTATCCAATGCCAAAAAAAGAATGAAATGTTTAGGGAAAAGAAGGAGAAAAGTTCTGAAGAGACAGATGAGGGGGAGAAGAGGCGAGAAGAGGACTAAAAAGCGGTATGAAATAATTGAAGAAGGGTAAGAAACGGATATTCGAAAAAAAAATTTGAAAATTTTAGTGTTTATTCAAAACATCATTTATCAAAAAGAAAAAAAAAAAAGAAGCAAAAAGCGGAACCGAGTATAATTGATGAACTTCTTTCTGCTATGTTTTTCGCTTTATTTTTGCTTCCTTTTTTTTTTCACTTATTAAGTATGGAAACAGCATCATTAAACAATTTCCGCTCAGAAACAAAAATAAATAGCAAGAAATTATATGTCACTACTTTTCATTTTTTTATTTGTTTTTACGTTTAAAAAAAGAGTGAAGATGATTACTCGGTATTATGTAAGTTTAAGCAAAGATTTACTCGTCAGCACAAGTTAGAGTGAAATTTGTTTGCACAAAATATGGGAAAAGTTTGAACGTGGAAAGGAAAAAATGCTGTTGAGTAGACAAATAAATAAATTTAGGTGGAAACTGAGGCAGAGAATGAAAGTTGCTTTATTCTCTTCTTTTTTTT